AAGTTTTAGCGATTTGCGACTCTAAGATGGCAAAGTATATACTTAACCCCCTTCTGCCCGAGAATGTGCCGGCAGTACAGTTTTTCTCAAATATGCTCATCCGTGGAGCCGCTCAATTCAAGGAGGCTCTCTTCAATGGCAATCCAATAGCTGTTGCAACAGTGTAAGCCTCCATGCGACTAAAGAACTGCGCTCAATTTGTGCTGAATTATTTCTGGTTACTGTTCCTCTCAGTTCGAGGACCTATGCCACTGCAGAGGTGTGGCGGCGGCTTGTCGTCGTCCACAGTAATGTCTGACTCTATCCAGGTCATTGTCATGAAATTTCACCAGCTGCATGCCGCACTTAAAGTTGGGCACGCATGCTTGGAGTGAAGTATAAAGCAGGTCTGCGTCGCTCGGATACTTTCTGTGTGAGACGCTAATCTGCATGCGTGCGTCATCTTTGGTACGTCCTTTTCCGCAGGGGTGTTATTGCGTTCCTTCTTATAACATTGGCTGCGAGGTGTAAGTATGCGGTCCGGTCATCATTTCCAGATAGCAAGGTAAGCGCTTCACCAAGTACGTTGATATCTGCAGTTGCTTCTACGGAAACTCGACATCTCACGCAGAGTTCATGAGTGTACTTTGTCATTGTCCATTCCAGCAGAGCACAAGCAAACGTCGCCGCAGAGCTCCTGTGGGATCAAGTAACTCTTCTACAAAGCAAACCGCTTCAACATCTCCGCCAGCGCAGCCCAAGAAGCAGCCGAAGAAGACCGAATGCGAAACAGCAGCTTCATCAAACGCGTCTGTTGCGAAGACAAAGGAAGAACCACAACCGAATCCTCTTCAATTAAGCGGGAAGCCTGAAGACGACGGTGGAGACTGGCTCGTTGTTGCTAGCAAGAAGAAGCCTAGACCGAAGAAGGCTTAACCTGGTGCCGTTGTCAGTGGATGCGGGCATATAATCTCAGATCGCAAGTTGTGTTGTGCCGTTTCCCACAGTCATCGAGGACTCTTTCTGTGTCCCTTTTTTCAGTTCAGCTGAGGAGCGAGAATGCAGGCTAGCGTACAGAGCAAGCAAAGTCTCAATTGCCATGCGCAACAGACGCACTCACAGCGCGCAGTGCAATAGTGTACTTCTGTGATAAAGATACGAGCTTTTCGGACTGCCCGCAACGACGAAGTGTGCACTTTGTCGGACGTAGGTTGCATTTTTGCAGCCGTTCATCTATCTTCCGTCCCTTGTTCTAGCTTTCGAGACTTTACACCGTGAACAGCTACCCTCTGTATATGAATTCATATTTTGAGCTGTTTCCAGATGATCTCGGTAGCGGATCTTTCCTGTAACCGGGCACACGGTTGCGAGGGGTTTTTGAGGATACTCATCCCCGTCGGCAGGTAAGGGTGCTGGTTTGTCAGCCCCTGCACAGACCTTAAAAATTCGCCTCTAATTCATGATCAAGACGAATGCCTGCGCCGCAGGCCTTCGTTAAAACATAGGAGGTTGCACTTATGACGGGATAGCTACTAACTTAAAGGAAAGTTTTTCGGGGTGCTTATTAGTGAGAGCCGTAAGCATCACTCTTTGCAAGTGTGCACACCTGAAGGTTCCGTACTTTTTTAGCTGGCGGTCCTCGTTGCAGGGACAAGGGGGGAAGACTTCTTTCGTGTATTGGGAGATTGCACACATTTTCTTTGGCCGTGCGAATAAATGGAGAGTGCCTGAACTAGGCCTCTGGATGTGTTGATGTCTGCGACTTCCCCGCGAGTACCCCTCTAGTTTGTGTTCTTGTGGTTCGGTCATTGTCCTGTGTTCCGTTGCCATGCCTTTATCAAGCTGGTTAAGTCCAGTCAAATATTCTAGCATTTTCCGAACAAGTCACTCTCCCGGAGTTTGTGTGTGTAAGTCCACGACAGAGCCCGTTCTCATGCATGGATGCCTTACCTGCTATACCCTAGGTGAAAGCCGACTGCTCATCCGCCTACCCAACGCCAGTAGCCGTCCAACCATCAGCAACAGCTGCAAACTCGCTGCAAATTGTTTCGTTCACATTCTCGTTTTCCACATTCTGTCCTCCGACGTGTGTAACTGCGCTCTATCTGCTCGGACAGAAAACGAATTCCGTTCATATGCTCACGTTCCAATTCGCTTTTCGTCTAGCCCTCGTGCGGACGCAGCCTCTTGCACGCTGATGTTTCAATGATGCATGTGAAGTGCGGTTTCGGGTGTTGTACTGACCTGGAGGTTTGGTATAAGCCAACTACGAACTCAAAGCCTAATAGTGGGGAACTGCACGCTTCCGAGACATGCTGCGACGTTTCCAAGACATGCTGCGGGCTGCTCACCTTGGATCCCGGGGAACTGCGGACGTAAAACTGCTCTACAACGGGTTTTGAAAAGGCAAAAATTGTCATATTACCTAAAATTTCGCAGCTTGGCATGACAAGCTGCTATTTCTATGATGCTGGCCACATTGAATTGCTGGACCTGAAGAAGCAACACCGTGGAGTCACCGCACTAGCCGAAGTCTCCCCTTAACTTTGCAGAATGCGTAAACTGTTATTTTAAGCGGTTGTCGAAGCTCGTGAATATTATTTAATATACCAACATGGGATTTTCACAACCTGCCCGCCTCACAGGGTAACGGGGCTGGAGGCCACCTCAGAGCTGCTGTGCGCTGTAGAACAATGAAATAAAAACAACAAACGGTTTACCAAGGAGACTCGTTGTGGACTATTCACGTTGAACACTACTTTGCCTAACTTGCTTTTCCTTTTGTGTGATTAGTGGTCCTGTTTTCCGCCGTGGGGCGCGTTCACTAGCTCCGCCCATTGCTTGATGGGCATGTTGCTTATTTGAAGGCACGCTTCCTTTTGTTCAAAAGCAAGTTGAGTAGTTGCGCTGTGACAGATATATTCGAAGCTCAAGTCTGACTCTCAAGGAGCATTCACGGCCGCGACGATACCTCAACAATTGGGCGAAGACGAAACAGTTGAGGCTGCGGTAGATCGAAGGTTGCTGTTCTAGTCTTTGGAGCCTACAATACAGCCATGGTGGGTTCAACACCTCTCAGGAACACTACAATTTTTTCTTTGAATAAAGGAGAAATGGATACTTCGTCTCTATCTCATCGGTTCGCTGCAAGTGCGAAAAAGTCGTGGACATTTTCTTCTTTTGCAGGGGAAGGCAAAGAAGACGCGCAAATTTGCCGCAGTAAAACGGACGATCAGTCCAAAGGATCAAAGGCTGTAGGACATGGCATCTCCTAAGAAAGCCACCGCATGGTATTTCCCCCCACGAGACGGTATATGTCCACGGCTCAGCTGCGTATCTCCTGCTTCAGGCAAAAGAAAGAAGCGAAGAAACAAGAGAAGCGAAGGGAAAGCGAAACTGCTTTAAAGGAACAGTGAGAAAGCACTTTTACCATTAACTATATTGGTTGAGTCTCCATTTATCTCAAATCTATGAATACGCCAGTACCATGAATTGGAAGGGGGCTACAGGGCAGACGCATGCCGTACGTATGTATTCGACTTTGCAGCGTACAGCATAACCCCTCCCAATTCTTCAGTTACAACACAAACCTGGTGCCTCCCTACCAGGTGCTTGTGGACACTAACTTCATCAACGGAGCCATTCAGACCAAACAAGACGTTTTACAGGGCCTCATTACTTGTCTCGTAGCAAAGTGTGAGCAAGCCTTGACTTATGGGGTGGCGCGTCACGTCGCATGAATACGAGCGCCAAATAGAAAAGCAGGTAGAACTGCACACGTTGCAACATCTTACGACCCGTATTCTTAGAAGCAGTTCTTTTGTGTTCCTCCTTCAGGCGATGTATGTGTGACGGACTGTGTAGTGGCTGAGCTAGAAAAGCTTGGCCACAGGTACCGTTTAGCCCTCCATCTGGCAAAGGATCCGCGCATTAAAAGACTTAAGTGCTTGCACGCTGGTACTTATGCTGATGACTGCATCGTGCAGAGAGTTACGGAGGTGAGTCTGCTCCAGGCCCGTCAGGTCCAGTGGGTGCATAGGACTACGATGTGAGTTGTCGAAAAACTGATGCTACTTTGACTTGTCTACTCAGCATAAGTGTTATCTGGTGGCGACAAATGATAAAGACTTGAAGCGCCGCATTCGGAAAATTCCAGGAGTGCCCATTGTATACCTGAAGGGACGAAGGTTCGCCGTAGAACGCCTACCCGAAGCGATCACTGCGCTGCCAGCTTCCAAGTCGGCGATTTCGAAGACATAAACGCTGAATAAGCCAGAAAGCTTCGTTGGCCGATGGGATGAGCACGTCGCTTGGTTGGCTGGTATCTAGCCAACGCGCATCGCTCGATCTGGCCTTTTTTTTTAAACTTTTATGCCTGCGGCCCCTCGTTCATTGAGGGGGAAGTGTTTTGCTAAGTAGTTCGTTTTGGTTTAGCGTTAACTGATAGATTGGCAGTCCTACATTTTACCCATGCCCGCCATGAGGAACACCACAACCAGCGAGTTTTTTCGCCGGTACGTTTCGCAGCAGTATTCGCTTTCTTTGAACAAATCAATGCAGGCAAGCCATGGAATTAGCCGCTCAAAACGCGTTGCCCCAGTCTGCCTTCAAAGGACCTTTTGCGAGTATGGAACTGGGCCAAAAGACTGGTGCGTACCATGCGGCTTTTGTGCGATAGCATTGCAGTACAAACCCAGAACACAGCACGAATGTCGCAGCAATCATGGCGAACGACATCACTGCTAAGTGCCGTCGCCACCGTACTTCTGCCTGTAGCACTTTGGTAGACTCTGGGCCACTCTTTGCAGTGCTACTCTCGCGCGCGGGCCGAAGTTCTGACTGCTCCATGAAACGAGGAAAACACACCATGAGCAGAACGGCACAGGACGCTAATGTAGAGCAACAAGAAATAAGTAGTCCCTCCAACAGATATTGCGCTCGGGAGGTTGGCGCTAACACTACATACCGCATGCTTACCTCGTCGTAACCTAAAAGCGGGACGGAATGAATTACGCTAAAGATTAAGCCGCCACTGCACAGCGTGTACGCAACCACACCACCTACCGTAACTATCCACTGATTTCTTCGGAGCAACGGAACTCCCTTCACTATCAACCACCAAATCAATAGCAACAATGACGGGAACAAGACTAGCAATATACTTTTTGTTTCCTGCTCATGGTGCTTGTTGCCACACTCGCCCTTCACTTGCCTGCATACATATACACCACAAGCTATGGTCTTCGATAAACTTTTCACGTCCAGCGTGTGCGACAGCCGACGCGAATGTCGGCAGGCAGATAAACCAACTAGCAAAGTCCAGACTGTCAAAGATGCAGGCAGCGGGTAGAGGCGCGTGCCTTTTTGTGCGAGAATTAACCCATTCAAGGAGGCGTTGTTCAACTGGTGCTTCGTTCTTGCGACGTCGCAGAAGAAGCATGTGCTTATGTGGCAAGGCAAAAAAATGCATTTTCCCGTGAATATTGTCTCGCTTCTGTTGCAGGAGGAGTTCCCTTAACTTTGTATCTTCATCATTATCCGCCTCCACTGCAAGTGCACTGTCGAAAAAATCCGCTGCTACTATTCGGCGCAGTGCAGTGTGGAGGCTGTCTTCGGAAGTGAGCTGAGGGGAAAGCACACGAGAGGAGTCGTGGAGCGCTGTGGGGGCCAGGTATATCACGATAGGGAGCTGCATTGCGGGATGAATAGCAGATATTGCAGCTCCATCTCGCATGCCAACATTAACAATGGCGAAGAAAACAGGTAGTAAATCCTCATTCCCTGGTGAGGAATCTGCACGGCCAGAACAAGCACCAGAAACGAACAGAAAACAAAAGCACGACGGTGAGCAACACCTGAGCCCTACAGCCGGGTCTTTAGCTGAGGCCAAGGCTGAAGAACTTGGCGAATACGAAAGCGGACGTGCTCACAAGTAAACCTACCTGTTAACTTGTAGGCTTTCGATACGTTGCGGAATGCCGCAAGAGCACCCGCACAGTCCTTGCACTGGCTGCTGAGACGTTGAGCGATTTCATCAGTGCGCTTCTCAACGAAAGTGAACAGGACGAACATATGGTATGGACGTGGCCCTCCAACTTTGTCCAGAGGAACCTCTGCAATTTGACTTGGGTCTAAGGGCGCACTAAAGCGGTGCAACGGCATTCGTTTAACGTCGTGGGCTGTCGCCTCCACATTGGAAAGCAAAAGGGCGTGGCTTAGGTAGATGGGGTATTGAAGCTCAATTAATCCCTCGTCAGAGGATTGGCGAGCTCGTAGTAAATCATGCATTGCACGGATCGAGCCGTACCTCCCACCACGTTTTTCATGCGCACTTGCTGTGTAGAATTTTTGTTTATCAGGCAACGCGTCCGCCCTCGCTCCATTCTGTGGACGTTTCGTAGCACTACCCTGGAGTGGAAGTTTGTCTTGAGTTCCTCCAGTAGGCAACACACCAGATTCCCTATTTGCAGATGCTACTAAATCCCAACAGCTCGTAGCCCAAATGGACAACGCCAAGAGTCGCCACATGGTCCAGTGAGACAGTAACAACCTCATAATTCTTCAGCCCTGTAAAAGGCTCCGTTGAATGTGATGGTGTCTTGGACCAATGCCTTTCACGTCCTGTTTTCTTTGGCACGCAGGAAGACGGGATAGGGCCAGCTTAGAAGCGCCATTCCGTCTACCCCAGCGAGTTGCTTGATAAGAAGAGCACAAATTCAAGAAATATTTGATGCTGAACTTGCCATTGGAGATTGTCTTCAACCGTCATTGATACTTCAGAGGTTCTTTCTCCACCCTGGGATGAAGGGCCCAGGCGCTGCCGACAGGCGGCAAACACGGGCGTCAAAAAGCGCAGAGGCGCTACAGGTACAGCTTCTTTCTTCCATCAAATATTTCTTAACTTGAGTTTTGGTAGTTTTTCTGGCCGTCGTTAGAACCAATGACTCACTGTACAGAGCCCCAGAGGCTGGTGCATCCTGTGCCTAATCAAAAGTAAGCAAACAAGCCAACTTGCAGCTAGCGTCGTCGCAGGAAATCATTTTGCTGTAGATTAGTTGCTATACACATACGTTACTGGAGCCAGTAGACACACCATTGGGCGGCTCTGAAGCTTTACTCTGAGTGGTTGTCCCATAGCATGCTCCAGCAAGACCCAGTGGGTGAGAGGGACTCGAGGCAACGCAGCCACGTGCATCTCCCGCAGACCGACGTGGTAAGTAATGTGTTACAATGGCCACAACAGTGATGCACGGAAGAACAGCAATAGTGCATGATAAAGGCAGTTGCTGGGTTGCTGGCCTGCCACAGTGAGAGAGGGGAAGTGCGCTTGAAGAGTTAGTGGGAAGCTACGAATGTCTTTCTCTACTGCTGCTTTGTAATGTTTGTGGTTTACTGGCATATGGAAGGAGAAACCGTGGAGCGAACGGCGCACGAATCCAGATTTGTTTGAAGCCTGGTCTTAGCGATCAGCGTATCACCTCTTGAAGCTTGCTCAGTTTCGCTCTCGGTTTGCTTAAGCAACATGAAGTGCTCCACTGACTGCTAAATATAAGCTAAGCTACATTGTGTCCTGCTACGTTGCCCACGCCCACCGGCTCCTCCAGACAGACTCTATATTATCAGAAAAAACATTCGTATTCACCACACTTTTTACACCGCGGTGTTTACAGTGTCTGCAGACTTCTCCTTCCTATTATGTTTTGCATTGTTCGCCCGCTAGTTAGCGCTCAGGAGACATCACTGGCTCTGGCTGTGCAAGCGAGTTCACTACCCAATCTGGCGCTGGCTGACGGTTCACAAGCGCATCCCTTCTCCAGACGATCTATTCCTCCACGTTGACAGTATACAAGCACAGCATTCGCTTTCCGATTTTGCATTTGCATATGCGACAAACCTTCCCATCAATCTCAAGTGGCCTTCTGGACGCGTTTGTAACGAAGTCCACTTGCGGCACTCAGTACTGCATATATCTGCTTGGAATCGAGACCGGGGGAATTTCCTTGGAGTGAGATCCTCTCCAGGATCTCACTCCATACAAATTCCCGCGGTCTCGTTTTTATTACGCAAAGGTGCATTTTTAGATAGCATCACGGTGAGGACAATTAGGAGCGCGCCCTACTCTACTCTAGCATCATCAACTGGTTTGTCTTACTTTGTTAGCTCCGGAGGTACTGCCTGCTGCGCAAAATCGGAGCCTCAGTTCTCGAGCTTTTCTAGAGGGCGCATGTCAGCTCAAAAATGATAACTGAATCCCTTAAGAACTAAAGCTAAAGCAAGCAGCCTCTGAAATCCGCCCGAAGTTTGCCCCTGCACTTTTGTTGCAGTCATAAGCGTTGTCTTCCCCTCGCGCCAACTCAAGACAAACTTCATTAGAACCTAACCGCACATGTACATTCTATCCGCAAATAGGCACAGTAATTTCGTGAGGTTGCTTCGAAGAACTTTCCCCGCGGACTGCGAAGTAACACTATCCTCCGGTTGTGTCGCACAAACATACATACCCAGTGGCCATGTGCCCCTAAACGTCCTTGCTGTTACACGTCTCCGTATTCGCTAGCGCTACCGCTGCTGCCACAATATCTTGCTTCGGTGTTACTGCAGCCTGGAACGTAAAGTGAATGATGACACATACGCTTAATACCTCGCGCATTTTTGGGGCTTTCCTTAACTAATCTCAGTAAATTTGAGGATGCAACACTTCTCCTAGGAGCTATTTTTTATCGACACTGACGGGCATAGTTCATCGGCAGCTTTATAATGGAGAAAGAAGAAATTGCCAAGGGCAATCGTTGAATATACGTTAATTACATTCATGTCATTAATCGTGATTCCAGAAACCATGATTCACACAATGCTACGTGATCCGCCAATGGCATTTGCCGGCTATCAAGCAGAAACGGTTAGGCGACGGAGAACTGCACAGTTGAAGAGCAGGAAGTGGTGTAAGTGGAAATCAGTTGCAATCTGCATTTGTGTGACTAGGGATCTCCATTTGTCCTAGCTTTGCCGCCTTACGTCTAGTCACAATGAGTCATTGAGCTGGGACGAAAAAAGGCAGATATCTGTCCTGAGTCCCTGTAAGGAGCCAATTCTTCCAATTAATACAACTGTGCGCCAAAGTCTCGGCCGCATTTTGCTGCATCTTGAGCTGTGTGAGTTAGCGTCTTGTAGACGCTAGCTCAGAAACGCTCACTGCAATTTTCCCTTCCCTCTTACAACCCAAATTCCCCGAAGACATATGCTCTGGTACACGACGCTTAAGGAGAAATGACGGTAGACTGGTAACGTAGACCAACATTGTCACCACTGCCATAAACAAAAGCAGCTGATGCACGCATCAGTTCCGTGCTCATGTGCAAATTATTGAATCGCAGAACGCTGCTGCTCATAGCTTAGAACTTATAAGTAGCATTGAACCTTGCTGTGCATGGATGCGTTATTAACGACGTCTTAAAGAGGACTTTTATTCAGTTTTCCTACTGTGTGAATGCATGCGCGTACAGCCAGCATTCCAGCAGCAAGTCGTTTGAAGCATCTGTAGCGACATTCTCAGGCAATTCGCTTTCGTACGAAACGCACAGAAAAATATCTACGTGGTTTCAGAAGTATCACAGGTACTGCTCGCAGTAATGATACAATTTATGACACGTTGGAAGAAAAACATTGAAGCTATTCAGAACTGGGCTTCATCAAAAAAGGCAGGATACTTCTGGGTCTTCCAGCTTGAAAGCGTTTCTAAGCATAAGCTTTGCAAAACTAGGCAACAGTAGCAGCTGGCTTGAAGTCCGCACATGACAAGTGAAAAGGAAGACGTCATCATCCCTGCAACTACCTTGTTCTCAGGGTGGGCCTGTCGTATAAGGTCCTTATGTCATGCGTTTGATATGCCCGACCGCCTTCAGGACCGATTCACATGAAGGTTCCAAAAGCACATTTCGTACTGCGTAAGAATCAGCCATGCACATAAGCTGTGTGGCACTGCCAGCCGCTCCGGTCCCTAAAGAACATTGCGAAGCACTCAAAGCAGAAGGAGGACCAGTCAACCCAATTGCATTATCATTTGACTGTTCGGAGGGGTATATACTTAGACGATTTGTACCAGGAACAGCCCGTTTGCTGCCTGGGTCGAGGGTATCATCACCTTCGCCACCAAGAAATAGTGTGCTTCTGTTTCTGCAAATTTACCACAGACTCAACAGAGCCAAAATGAGCTGAAGAACCACACGGCAGTTCATCGTCTGCATACTTAGCAACAATTTTCACGGTCTTTCATACTGCTGCACGCGTTCCAACAGTTGATTCGAAAACATAGTGCTTTAATTAGCCTGAGCAGCAGGGCGATGGGTTAAGTGTCTGATGCGTACTGTTTCGTGTCTAATGGGACCGGGTGGCCTTTAAGCTTCCTCTGAGCCTTCTCGAGTTGAATTTTTAGCCGTGTTACTTGCGCAATGCGCCTTTCCCTTTCCATTAGTGCAAGGTATTGGGAATCACGGGCGTTACGGGCTGCCGCTTCCAATCCCCTTTTAAGCTCAGCGTAGTCCACTTGCTCTCTAAAAGCTGTTTCTTCCTTATCAACAGATTCCTGGGCTTTGCTCATCAATGCTTGCTTGAGCACCTGATTCTCTCTGTTTAACTTTTCGTGCTCACATTGGAGTTGCTGAAGCTGTTGCTGAAGCGCTCGTTGCATTTCCTGGAGCTTTCTGACAAGCTTCGCGCTCTGTCCAGGCACCTCCACTGTTCCGTCTTGGGACCGTACAATGCGTTCTTGTCCTTTGGTGCTCTCCTTTGAAACATTGATCCCCATAATCAACGCATCACTGCTCGCTACGGGCTTCTGTACCTTCCAAAGCACACACACGCAGCGACACATGACTGTTTTCCACAAGTTCCAGGCAGAAAGCAACTCTACATCCAAAGGTACATCTCGTCGCTTCGTCGTGCACTTTCAAGACAAGCCACTTGTTGCTTCAACTCACTTCGGAAGCATCAGCAGAAATTCTCTTTTCTATCAAATTTAGGTCAGACTCGCAGGCCGTCTAACACACAGTTAAGGTAAACAGCAGGAAAAACAAAAAAGTCTTTCACGCATGCTCTAGGCTCTTTAGAAACACCACCTGAAATAACCCATATCTACTTACAACACGATCGCATTTGCTTCACACACACAAGGGCTAGGTAGGAGGGAGGCCCGCATGGATGCCACGGATCCAATTAGCCAAATGCAGTCTCAGGGCTGACTCATAACGGCTACATGCGAAACACACAAGCAGCAAGCAAGTGCAGAATCCGCCCAATATGCGCGCATTTTTCCACTGGTCCAACACGCTTACGTTCCTCACGACCAACGACTGCAGCTTGTCAGGAGAACCAAGCCGAAGCAGCGGCTCCGCCTTCTCTGCCTTTTCTTGAAGCTCCCGCAGACTCTTCCGCAAGTTCTCTAACTCCGCATCCTTCACCTTCACAGACTCCTGCAAACGCCAAGTGGAACAAAACAGCTGCATTCCAAGTAGCAGTTAAAGCCCGGCCTCGTCAACGCTGCAGCCCAACGCTACCAACACCGCTGCTCCTACGTCACGTGCCAAAAGCAGCGCCAAACAACCGCAACAACCCACTTCCAAATGCTCTTGCGTCTCCGTCAGCTGGCGCTTCAAGCTCGTCAAAGTCTCATCCTTCTCCGCCAGCTCACCCACTAATTCAGACTGCAAGCGACGACAAATGCAAGCACATGCACAGGCCCAGGGCACACTTGTCCTGCATACACCAATGCTTTCAAATATCAAACACAAAAATATCGCCCAAAATAATTCAACACACGTGCACGCCCAACCAACCCACCCAACCGCCCTCATGCGTTTCAGGTAGCTGCCCATCGTGCAGTTTCAAGTACAGCATCTGCTGAAACAACGCTTCCATCACTCGCATTTCCAGCGTTCTAGTCTCAACGCGCACACAGCCTTACAACTCCAAATAGCGCAGTTGTACACATCTCAACGCAGTTTGGACGCCTTCAGCCAAAAGCAAGTTCAACAACCACCCAAGGCACGCAAATTTCCCACTGGTCCAACACGCTTACGTTCCTCACGACCAACGACTGCAGCTTGTCAGGAGAACCAAGCCGAAGCAGCGGCTCCGCCTTCTCTGCCTTTTCTTGAAGCTCCCGCAGACTCTTCCGCAAGTTCTCTAACTCCGCATCCTTCACCTTCACAGACTCCTGCAAACGCCAAGTGGAACAAAACAGCTGCATTCCACGTAGCAGTTAAAGCCCGGCCTCGTCAACGCTGCAGCCCAACGCTACCAACACCGCTGCTCCTACGTCACGTGCCAAAAGCAGCGCCAAACAACCGCAACAACCCACTTCCAAATGCTCTTGCGTCTCCGTCAGCTGGCGCTTCAAGCTCGTCAAAGTCTCATCCTTCTCCGCCAGCTCACCCACTAATTCAGACTGCAAGCGACGACAAATGCAAGCACATGCACAGGCCCAGGGCACACTTGTCCTGCATACACCAATGCTTTCAAATTTCAAACACAAAAATATCGCCCAAAATAATTCAACACACGTGCACGCCCAACCAACCCACCCAACCGCCCTCATGCGTTTCAGGTAGCTGCCCATCGTGCAGTTTCAAGTACAGCATCTGCTGAAACAACGCTTCCATCACTCGCATTTCCAGCGTTCTAGTCTCAACGCGCACACAGCCTTACAACTCCAAATAGCGCAGTTGTACACATCTCAACGCAGTTTGGACGCCTTCAGCCAAAAGCAAGTTCAACAACCACCCAAGACGCGCAAATTTCCCACTGGCCCAACACGCTTACGTTCCTCACGACCAACGACTGCAGCTTGTCAGGAGAACCAAGCCGAAGCAGCGGCTCCGCCTTCTCTGCCTTTTCTTGAAGCTCCCGCAGACTCTTCCGCAAGTTCTCTAACTCCGCATCCTTCACCTTCACAGACTCCTGCAAACGCCAAGTGGAACAAAACAGCTGCATTCCACGTAGCAGTTAAAGCCCGGCCTCGTCAACGCTGCATCCCAACGCTACCAACACCGCTGCTCCTACGTCACGTGCCAAAAGCAGCGCCAAACAACCGCAACAACCCACTTCCAAATGCTCTTGCGTCTCCGTCAGCTGGCGCTTCAAGCTCGTCAAAGTCTCATCCTTCTCCGCCAGCTCACCCACTAATTCAGACTGCAAGCGACGACAAATGCAAGCACATGCACAGGCCCAGGGCACACTTGTCCTGCATACACCAATGCTTTCAAATATCAAACACAAAAATATCGCCCAAAATAATTCAACACACGTGCACGCCCAACCAACCCACCCAACCGCCCTCATGCGTTTCAGGTAGCTGCCCATCGTGCAGTTTCAAGTACAGCATCTGCTGAAACAACGCTTCCATCACTCGCATTTCCAGCGTTCTAGTCTCAACGCGCACACAGCCTTACAACTCCAAATAGCGCAGTTGTACACATCTCAACGCAGTTTGGACGCCTTCAGCCAAAAGCAAGTTCAACAACCACCCAAGACGCGCAAATTTCCCACTGGTCCAACACGCTTACGTTCCTCACGACCAACGACTGCAGCTTGTCAGGAGAACCAAGCCGAAGCAGCGGCTCCGCCTTCTCTGCCTTTTCTTGAAGCTCCCGCAGACTCTTCCGCAAGTTCTCTAACTCCGCATCCTTCACCTTCACAGACTCCTGCAAACGCCAAGTGGAACAAAACAGCTGCATTCCAAGTAGCAGTTAAAGCCCGGCCTCGTCAACGCTGCAGCCCAACGCTACCAACACCGCTGCTCCTACGTCACGTGCCAAAAGCAGCGCCAAACAACCGCAACAACCCACTTCCAAATGCTCTTGCGTCTCCGTCAGCTGGCGCTTCAAGCTCGTCAAAGTCTCATCCTTCTCCGCCAGCTCACCCACTAATTCAGACTGCAAGCGACGACAAATGCAAGCACATGCACAGGCCCAGGGCACACTTGTCCTGCATACACCAATGCTTTCAAATATCAAACACAAAAATATCGCCCAAAATAATTCAACACACGTGCACGCCCAACCAACCCACCCAACCGCCCTCATGCGTTTCAGGTAGCTGCCCATCGTGCAGTTTCAAGTATAGCATCTGCTGAAACAACGCTTCCATCACTCGCATTTCCAGCGTTCTAGTCTCAACGCGCACACAGCCTTACAACTCCAAATAGCGCAGTTGTACACATCTCAACGCAGTTCGGACGCCTTCAGCCAAAAGCAAGTTCAACAACCACCCAAGACGCGCAAATTTCCCACTGGTCCAACACGCTTACGTTCCTCACGACCAACGACTGCAGCTTGTCAGGAGAACCAAGCCGAAGCAGCGGCTCCGCCTTCTCTGCCTTTTCTTGAAGCTCCCGCAGACTCTTCCGCAAGTTCTCTAACTCCGCATCCTTCACCTTCACAGACTCCTGCAAACGCCAAGTGGAACAAAACAGCTGCATTCCACGTAGCAGTTAAAGCCCGGCCTCGTCAACGCTGCATCCCAACGCTACCAACACCGCTGCTCCTACGTCACGTGCCAAAAGCAGCGCCAAACAACCGCAACAACCCACTTCCAAATGCTCTTGCGTCTCCGTCAGCTGGCGCTTCAAGCTCGTCAAAGTCTCATCCTTCTCCGCCAGCTCACCCACTAATTCAGACTGCAAGCGACGACAAATGCAAGCACATGCACAGGCCCAGGGCACACTTGTCCTGCATACACCAATGCTTTCAAATATCAAACACAAAAATATCGCCCAAAATAATTCAACACACGTGCACGCCCAACCAACCCACCCAACCGCCCTCATGCGTTTCAGGTAGCTGCCCATCGTGCAGTTTCAAGTATAGCATCTGCTGAAACAACGCTTCCATCACTCGCATTTCCAGCGTTCTAGTCTCAACGCGCACACAGCCTTACAACTCCAAATAGCGCAGTTGTACACATCTCAACGCAGTTCGGACGCCTTCAGCCAAAAGCAAGTTCAACAACCACCCAAGACGCGCAAATTTCCCACTGGTCCAACACGCTTACGTTCCTCACGACCAACGACTGCAGCTTGTCAGGAGAACCAAGCCGAAGCAGCGGCTCCGCCTTCTCTGCCTTTTCTTGAAGCTCCCGCAGACTCTTCCGCAAGTTCTCTAACTCCGCATCCTTCACCTTCACAGACTCCTGCAAACGCCAAGTGGAACAAAACAGCTGCATTCCACGTAGCAGTTAAAGCCCGGCCTCGTCAACGCTGCATCCCAACGCTACCAACACCGCTGCTCCTACGTCACGTGCCAAAAGCAGCGCCAAACAACCGCAACAACCCACTTCCAAATGCTCTTGCGTCTCCGTCAGCTGGCGCTTCAAGCTCGTCAAAGTCTCATCCTTCTCCGCCAGCTCACCCACTAATTCAGACTGCAAGCGACGACAAATGCAAGCACATGCACAGGCCCAGGGCACACTTGTCCTGCATACACCAATGCTTTCAAATATCAAACACAAAAATATCGCCCAAAATAATTCAACACACGTGCACGCCCAACCAACCCACCCAACCGCCCTCATGCGTTTCAGGTAGCTGCCCATCGTGCAGTTTCAAGTATAGCATCTGCTGAAACAACGCTTCCATCACTCGCATTTCCAGCGTTCTAGTCTCAACGCGCACACAGCCTTACAACTCCAAATAGCGCAGTTGTACACATCTCAACGCAGTTTGGACGCCTTCAGCCAAAAGCAAGTTCAACAACCACCCAAGACGCGCAAATTTCCCACTGGTCCAACACGCTTACGTTCCTCACGACCAACGACTGCAGCTTGTCAGGAGAACCAAGCCGAAGCAGCGGCTCCGCCTTCTCTGCCTTTTCTTGAAGCTCCCGCAGACTCTTCCGCAAGTTCTCTAACTCCGCATCCTTCACCTTCACAGACTCCTGCAAACGCCAAGTGGAACAAAACAGCTGCATTCCACGTAGCAGTTAAAGCCCGGCCTCGTCAACGCTGCATCCCAACGCTACCAACACCGCTGCTCCTACGTCACGTGCCAAAAGCAGCGCCAAACAACCGCAACAACCCACTTCCAAATGCTCTTGCGTCTCCGTCAGCTGGCGCTTCAAGCTCGTCAAAGTCTCATCCTTCTCCGCCAGCTCACCCACTAATTCAGACTGCAAGCGACGACAAATGCAAGCACATGCACAGGCCCAGGGCACACTTGTCCTGCATACACCAATGCTTTCAAATATCAAACACAAAAATATCGCCCAAAATAATTCAACACACGTGCACGCCCAACCAACCCACCCAACCGCCCTCATGCGTTTCAGGTAGCTGCCCATCGTGCAGTTTCAAGTACAGCATCTGCTGAAACAACGCTTCCATCACTCGCATTTCCAGCGTTCTAGTCTCAACGCGCACACAGCCTTACAACTCCAAATAGCGCAGTTGTACACATCTCAACGCAGTTTGGACGCCTTCAGCCAAAAGCAAGTTCAACAACCACCCAAGACGCGCAAATTTCCCACTGGCCCAACACGCTTACGTTCCTCACGACCAACGACTGCAGCTTGTCAGGAGAACCAAGCCGAAGCAGCGGCTCCGCCTTCTCTGCCTTTTCTTGAAGCTCCCGCAGACTCTTCCGCAAGTTCTCTAACTCCGCATCTTTCACCTTCACAGACTCCTGCAAACGCCAAGTGGAACAAAACAGCTGCATTCCACGTAGCAGTTAAAGCCCGGCCTCGTCAACGCTGCAGCCCAACGCTACCAACACCGCTGCTCCTACGTCACGTGCCAAAAGCAGCGCCAAACAACCGCAACAACCCACTTCCAAATGCTCTTGCGTCTCCGTCAGCTGGCGCTTCAAGCTCGTCAAAGTCTCATCCTTCTCCGCCAGCTCACCCACTAATTCAGACTGCAAGCGACGACAAATGCAAGCACATGCACAGGCCCAGGGCACACTTGTCCTGCATACACCAATGCTTTCAAATTTCAAACACAAAAATATCGCCCAAAATAATTCAACACACGTGCACGCCCAACCAACCCACCCAACCGCCCTCATGCGTTTCAGGTAGCTGCCCATCGTGCAGTTTCAAGTACAGCATCTGCTGAAACAACGCTTCCATCACTCGCATTTCCAGCGTTCTAGTCTCAACGCGCACACAGCCTTACAACTCCAAATAGCGCAGTTGTACACATCTCAACGCAGTTTGGACGCCTTCAGCCAAAAGCAAGTTCAACAACCACCCAAGGCACGCAAATTTCCCACTGGTCCAACACGCTTACGTTCCTCACGACCAACGACTGCAGCTTGTCAGGAGAACCAAGCCGAAGCAGCGGCTCCGCCTTCTCTGCCTTTTCTTGAAGCTCCCGCAGACTCTTCCGCAAGTTCTCTAACTCCGCATCCTTCACCTTCACAGACTCCTGCAAACGCCAAGTGGAACAAAACAGCTGCATTCCACGTAGCAGTTAAAGCCCGGCCTCGTCAACGCTGCAGCCCAACGCTACCAACACCGCTGCTCCTACGTCACGTGCCAAAAGCAGCGCCAAACAACCGCAACAACCCACTTCCAAATGCTCTTGCGTCTCCGTCAGCTGGCGCTTCAAGCTCGTCAAAGTCTCATCCTTCTCCGCCAGCTCACCCACTAATTCAGACTGCAAGCGACGACAAATGCAAGCACATGCACAGGCCCAGGGCACACTTGTCCTGCATACACCAATGCTTTCAAATATCAAACACAAAAATATCGCCCAAAATAATTCAACACACGTGCACGCCCAACCAACCCACCCAACCGCCCTCATGCGTTTCAGGTAGCTGCCCATCGTGCAGTTTCAAGTACAGCATCTGCTGAAACAACGCTTCCATCACTCGCATTTCCAGCGTTCTAGTCTCAACGCGCACACAGCCTTACAACTCCAAATAGCGCAGTTGTACACATCTCAACGCAGTTTGGACGCCTTCAGCCAAAAGCAAGTTCAACAACCACCCAAGACGCGCAAATTTCCCACTGGTCCAACACGCTTACGTTCCTCACGACCAACGACTGCAGCTTGTCAGGAGAACCAAGCCGAAGCAGCGGCTCCGCCTTCTCTGCCTTTTCTTGAAGCTCCCGCAGACTCTTCCGCAAGTTCTCTAACTCCGCATCCTTCACCTTCACAGACTCCTGCAAACGCCAAGTGGAACAAAACAGCTGCATTCCACGTAGCAGTTAAAGCCCGGCCTCGTCAACGCTGCAGCCCAACGCTACCAACACCGCTGCTCCTACGTCACGTGCCAAAAGCAGCGCCAAACAACCGCAACAACCCACTTCCAAATGCTCTTGCGTCTCCGTCAGCTGGCGCTTCAAGCTCGTCAAAGTCTCATCCTTCTCCGCCAGCTCACCCACTAATTCAGACTGCAAGCGACGACAAATGCAAGCACATGCACAGGCCCAGGGCACACTTGTCCTGCATACACCAATGCTTTCAAATATCAAACACAAAAATATCGCCCAAAATAATTCAACACACGTGCACGCCCAACCAACCCACCCAACCGCCCTCATGCGTTTCAGGTAGCTGCCCATCGTGCAGTTTCAAGTACAGCATCTGCTGAAACAACGCTTCCATCACTCGCATTTCCAGCGTTCTAGTCTCAACGCGCACACAGCCTTACAACTCCAAATAGCGCAGTTGTACACATCTCAACGCAGTTTGGACGCCTTCAGCCAAAAGCAAGTTCAACAACCACCCAAGACGCGCAAATTTCCCACTGGCCCAACACGCTTACGTTCCTCACGACCAACGACTGCAGCTTGTCAGGAGAACCAAGCCGAAGCAGCGGCTCCGCCTTCTCTGCCTTTTCTTGAAGCTCCCGCAGACTCTTCCGCAAGTTCTCTAACTCCGCATCTTTCACCTTCACAGACTCCTGCAAACGCCAAGTGGAACAAAACAGCTGCATTCCACGTAGCAGTTAAAGCCCGGCCTCGTCAACGCTGCAGCCCAACGCTACCAACACCGCTGCTCCTACGTCACGTGCCAAAAGCAGCGCCAAACAACCGCAACAACCCACTTCCAAATGCTCTTGCGTCTCCGTCAGCTGGCGCTTCAAGCTCGTCAAAGTCTCATCCTTCTCCGCCAGCTCACCCACTAATTCAGACTGCAAGCGACGACAAATGCAAGCACATGCACAGGCCCAGGGCACACTTGTCCTGCATACACCAATGCTTTCAAATATCAAACACAAAAATATCGCCCAAAATAATTCAACACACGTGCACGCCCAACCAACCCACCCAACCGCCCTCATGCGTTTCAGGTAGCTGCCCATCGTGCAGTTTCAAGTATAGCATCTGCTGAAACAACGCTTCCATCACTCGCATTTCCAGCGTTCTAGTCTCAACGCGCACACAGCCTTACAACTCCAAATAGCGCAGTTGTACACATCTCAACGCAGTTTGGACGCCTTCAGCCAAAAGCAAGTTCAACAACCACCCAAGACGCGCAAATTTCCCACTGGCCCAACACGCTTACGTTCCTCACGACCAACGACTGCAGCTTGTCAGGAGAACCAAGCCGAAGCAGCGGCTCCGCCTTCTCTGCCTTTTCTTGAAGCTCCCGCAGACTCTTCCGCAAGTTCTCTAACTCCGCATCTTTCACCTTCACAGACTCCTGCAAACGCCAAGTGGAACAAAACAGCTGCATTCCACGTAGCAGTTAAAGCCCGGCCTCGTCAACGCTGCAGCCCAACGCTACCAACACCGCTGCTCCTACGTCACGTGCCAAAAGCAGCGCCAAACAACCGCAACAACCCACTTCCAAATGCTCTTGCGTCTCCGTCAGCTGGCGCTTCAAGCTCGTCAAAGTCTCATCCTTCTCCGCCAGCTCACCCACTAATTCAGACTGCAAGCGACGACAAATGCAAGCACATGCACAGGCCCAGGGCACACTTGTCCTGCATACACCAATGCTTTCAAATATCAAACACAAAAATATCGCCCAAAATAATTCAACACACGTGCACGCCCAACCAACCCACCCAACCGCCCTCATGCGTTTCAGGTAGCTGCCCATCGTGCAGTTTCAAGTATAGCATCTGCTGAAACAACGCTTCCATCACTCGCATTTCCAGCGTTCTAGTCTCAACGCGCACACAGCCTTACAACTCCAAATAGCGCAGTTGTACACATCTCAACGCAGTTCGGACGCCTTCAGCCAAAAGCAAGTTCAACAACCACCCAAGACGCGCAAATTTCCCACTGGTCCAACACGCTTACGTTCCTCACGACCAACGACTGCAGCTTGTCAGGAGAACCAAGCCGAAGCAGCGGCTCCGCCTTCTCTGCCTTTTCTTGAAGCTCCCGCAGACTCTTCCGCAAGTTCTCTAACTCCGCATCCTTCACCTTCACAGACTCCTGCAAACGCCAAGTGGAACAAAACAGCTGCATTCCAAGTAGCAGTTAAAGCCCGGCCTCGTCAACGCTGCAGCCCAACGCTACCAACACCGCTGCTCCTACGTCACGTGCCAAAAGCAGCGCCAAACAACCGCAACAACCCACTTCCAAATGCTCTTGCGTCTCCGTCAGCTGGCGCTTCAAGCTCGTCAAAGTCTCATCCTTCTCCGCCAGCTCACCCACTAATTCAGACTGCAAGCGACGACAAATGCAAGCACATGCACAGGCCCAGGGCACACTTGTCCTGCATACACCAATGCTTTCAAATTTCAAACACAAAAATATCGCCCAAAATAATTCAACACACGTGCACGCCCAACCAACCCACCCAACCGCCCTCATGCGTTTCAGGTAGCTGCCCATCGTGCAGTTTCAAGTATAGCATCTGCTGAAACAACGCTTCCATCACTCGCATTTCCAGCGTTCTAGTCTCAACGCGCACACAGCCTTACAACTCCAAATAGCGCAGTTGTACACATCTCAACGCAGTTCGGACGCCTTCAGCCAAAAGCAAGTTCAACAACCACCCAAGACGCGCAAATTTCCCACTGGCCCAACACGCTTACGTTCCTCACGACCAACGACTGCAGCTTGTCAGGAGAACCAAGCCGAAGCAGCGGCTCCGCCTTCTCTGCCTTTTCTTGAAGCTCCCGCAGACTCTTCCGCAAGTTCTCTAACTCCGCATCTTTCACCTTCACAGACTCCTGCAAACGCCAAGTGGAACAAAACAGCTGCATTCCACGTAGCAGTTAAAGCCCGGCCTCGTCAACGCTGCAGCCCAACGCTACCAACACCGCTGCTCCTACGTCACGTGCCAAAAGCAGCGCCAAACAACCGCAACAACCCACTTCCAAATGCTCTTGCGTCTCCGTCAGCTGGCGCTTCAAGCTCGTCAAAGTCTCATCCTTCTCCGCCAGCTCACCCACTAATTCAGACTGCAAGCGACGACAAATGCAAGCACATGCACAGGCCCAGGGCACACTTGTCCTGCATACACCAATGCTTTCAAATATCAAACACAAAAATATCGCCCAAAATAATTCAACACACGTGCACGCCCAACCAACCCACCCAACCGCCCTCATGCGTTTCAGGTAGCTGCCCATCGTGCAGTTTCAAGTACAGCATCTGCTGAAACAACGCTTCCATCACTCGCATTTCCAGCGTTCTAGTCTCAACGCGCACACAGCCTTACAACTCCAAATAGCGCAGTTGTACACATCTCAACGCAGTTTGGACGCCTTCAGCCAAAAGCAAGTTCAACAACCACCCAAGACGCGCAAATTTCCCACTGGCCCAACACGCTTACGTTCCTCACGACCAACGACTGCAGCTTGTCAGGAGAACCAAGCCGAAGCAGCGGCTCCGCCTTCTCTGCCTTTTCTTGAAGCTCCCGCAGACTCTTCCGCAAGTTCTCTAACTCCGCATCCTTCACCTTCACAGACTCCTGCAAACGCCAAGTGGAACAAAACAGCTGCATTCCACGTAGCAGTTAAAGCCCGGCCTCGTCAACGCTGCATCCCAACGCTACCAACACCGCTGCTCCTACGTCACGTGCCAAAAGCAGCGCCAAACAACCGCAACAACCCACTTCCAAATGCTCTTGCGTCTCCGTCAGCTGGCGCTTCAAGCTCGTCAAAGTCTCATCCTTCTCCGCCAGCTCACCCACTAATTCAGACTGCAAGCAACGAGTAACGACACTAGTCTATGCCAGCCTTATTTACAGTCGATATAGGAGTGCACTGCGGGGCTGAATAATCATATCGTGGAGTTAACGGAAAAAGCGTGAAAGAAGTTTGTAAACGTGGTGTGAGTGCCTTTGTATGCTGGCTGGGTGTTGCGGCGTTGGTCTCAAGACCACGTTTGCAGAGTGTTAACTGCCTGAGTTTGTTGCATTTTGGGCATGCTATGTGGCGTGGAGTCGCAGCGTGTTCAGTGCCTCGAATACTGCAGGCCATCTCAAAAAGCTGCAAAGCTCAATTCCTGAGTAGTTCAGGCGGCACTGCTGAAAAGCAGAATCACCTGACTTTCTGTGAAGACACTCACATTTTGTTTTAAAACGGATGCTAGCTTTTTCGCGTCTCCAACTTGTTGCGTGCTTTGCAACCGTTGTTGTAGTTCCTCCACAAGTCCCTGGAGCTCCTGGACATTCGCCTTAGCCTTAATAAGCTCATCGGCCTCCTCCTGGAGTATCATCGGCAAGACACAGCTGCAAGTACTTGAGCCTACACAGGCCTTACAGCCACTTCACATGCGTTAGCTAATAAGAGCAAGCAGCACGAAAGGGTCTCGAATCATGGTAATTGGTCCATGGATGCTTCATTGCAAGTGAAATTTAGGCTGACTGCTGCAAGTGCTCTTGCTTGTGCTTCTGCCTCCTGAAGTGCTTGCACTTGAGATCGCAGTTTTTCCACTTCGTCGTCTCTTGTAGCCAACAGTTTGCGCAGGTCTGCCTGCAGATTTGGAAGAAGTTGGAAAAACAGCCAAGGCTACGTACGTGAAGCGGCGAGGCGCTGCCTCCACTCGTGTTTATTGCTCGTTTGACTTCAATTGCGCGTGCTCACAATATGTTCGTTGAGACTTTGGATTGCATCTGATGAGCTCTTGAGCTTGTCCTCCATGGAGACCTGATGAATAAGCAGTAGGGCAAGCCTTCAGCAAAGCAGCAGCTACTGGGCATTTTATATCCAACCGAAATTTCCTGCCAGACTTTTGCTTCATATATTTTCATGCAGAGGCTAAATGGAGAGGCTCTACACTCTCAAAAGTGCCAGACCGTGGCGCAAAAGTTGACTCTTATCTAAGACAGAGCAATTCTTTTTGAAATATCATCACAAGAGCTGGCTCCAATGTGTCGACTTTGTTGTGACTTGCCTTTTCATCCTGCAACACCATTGCGAGCCTCTGTTGTAGCTCTAGCTCGCGTTTTGCCCCTTCCTCTGAGTTGCGTCCATCCTGCAAATAAAAAAAGAATCGCGACTAGCGGAAGTGCTCGCCTTAAGAGCTGAAAGTGGCAGGAAGAGCAGCAGGAGTCCAACTCACCCTATCGATTCGGTGGAGAGTCTGCTGCTGCATGAATATCAACGATTCCAGCTGGGACTTCTCTTCCGTCAGATTTTGCACTTGATGCTGAAGTCTTGCCACGAAGGCCTGGCACTGCTCGTTCGCGCATGCTGCGGATGTGAGAAGAGCGGAAAGCAGAGTGCCTATTGGAGACAGTTAATGTCAATGTCGCCTCCGAGCCCCGCAGCCATCAACATTGCAGAATCAGCTCAAGTGTAGCTACGAGCGCTCCCCAAATTTTTTTATTGGCCTTAGGAGGCTTCTTTCTTACGGCAAAGTGGACCCCTTTGGGTGCTGGGGAGAGAACAACTCCATGCTGCTTCCTTGGTTAGTGAGGCCTCAATCGGGAGTGAATCAATTCTTGTGGGCAACCAGCGCTGCAAGGGCATAGAACCAGCCCTTTTGGGGTTCTTGGGTTCGTTGCCCCCATAGCTGTCTTGTTGCTTGCCCACTGACTTGTTGAACAACTTTTTCATCTTCAGCGCCTGAAGCAGACTAGTTCTGCCTATACACGTGGCTACAGACAGGCACGAATATATACGAAGTGCCTTGTGGATGAGCGACACTATGTGCTTGAGAAGAAGGCGGTCTTGCTTCGTAATATGACGGACCTTCCCTCCAGGTGTTCTTGCGTCGCTGGGCACCGAAACTGCAGAGCAGAGACTTTTCCAACAACTGCCAGTCAGCCCTTCTAGAGGAGTGTAAGGTCATTTATGGTTGCGGTTTCGGAAGCTTGTCATTGCTCACAAAGAAGTGGACGAACCGTGAGCCCGACGACTGCCTACTCGAGTTGTCGATGAGGAACAGCGGACACGTTGGAACTCTCCAATGCCTCCATGTGCGGATTTCGACTTCATCCTAGTGAAGACAAAGTAAATAAATTAAGTTTTGCAATGGATACGTGTGAATTTTGCACTATGTTTCAAACAAGAACCACGTTGTCTGGGGATAGCCCCTTGCCAAGGGCCGTTGAACACAACTGGAGCGGTCACCCACAGGACAACGCTGGTGACCTAAACAGAACATATTTCAGTTTTTTTAGCAATGGAAACAAAAATATCCTCAATGTGCATATGCACACGCGCATGTCCCTCCCTGTGCAGCTCAGCAGAACTGGTCCATTTCGGCTCGCATCACCCTTTGTTGCAGTCGCCAGTCATCTGAAAATGTTATTGCTGTCTGCGCTTCCGATATTAGATGCTTTTCGCATGAGCTAGTGCTGTGGGTAACTGGGTTTTGACTTTCAATTGATATTAACATTCAGGCAGGGCCTTGTTCAGAAGCTTGTCAATATTTGCTTCTACGAAGAATCCTCACCACACGAGTGAGCGCGCGGTTAAGTCCCTTCTGCCTCTGATGAAACAGCCTATCGTATCATTTGTATTTACTGGACACCGACATGCACCATCTTACGCGGCCACTAGGCCAACTGAAATGACTCCCTAACGATGGGCTAACGAAGCGGGAAGCCGCTACCTCGTTTCTTAGCTTTCCACCCTCCACAAGCATCAAATCTACACGCCATTTGAAGACAATACTTTGATTAGTTCTGTATATGTTCGAAAGTTTTCATTACGCCTAGTTTACTATGAGTGTCTCCCATAAGTAACCTTTACTATGAGTGTCCCCCGTAAGTAACCTGTCCCAGGCAGCGTACACTTAGATTGCAAACTAAATTGAATAAAACGGTCATAAACAATAGTATACCATGATCAGTCGTTAAGACGCCCATGGCAGCTTGCCGCTGGATCAGACGTCTCTTACGTAGCTAACCCTTCTTGCTCACGCGGACGAAATGATGACTTCAAACGTCAAGCTTCCGCTGCAGAGCAGCATGGAACTGCCGCAGTCCAGCTCCAAATGACAGTACAATCACTTCGAAGGTAAACGCAGCTTAATTCCAAGCTTCAAGACAGAAACATCTCCAACCTAGATGCGCACAGATTAGGGTGATCTGAGCTGTGCACTACACTTTTTTGGAGGGGCTCCACGATTGAAAAGAAGCTCATTTGACTTCATCTGAAATGCTTCTTGACCTAGCAAAAGCCAGAAAGCCCTGCCATTTCCTGAAGGGTAATCGAAACGATGCCCAAGACAAACTTACAAGTCATCTGTTCGCGCACCCGATTGCCGTTGGATTCCACGTGTGCTGCCGCTGCCGTGCAGTGAAGCCAGGTCCAACATGTCGCATGATTAGTTGCACGTTGGAGGGCCCGTGCGACTGCTGGTTGGGGACTGCTCTTACAGGCTGATGTGGTGGTTGGCACTGTATGAGTGGGTGATGCAGTGTGTGCTGTTGCAAGCTTAACTGTTGCTGGACACAATACGCAGGTAGATTATTTGCAGCCAGGGCGGGGGGCCTACCAGCTGTAGAGGCTGCCACCGGCAATTCTCCTGCGCTCTGGGTGATGTACGAATGGTAATGTTGAGCAGAGAAATTCTTCGCATGCATTTGCAAGCTACTTTTATAGTTTTCTGAGAGTGAAGTGCGTACAGGCTTTTCATATGGGGTTCCAGGTTCCCATCCGTCTGGTGCCTTGAATGATCTACCAAGAAACAGCCTTTGGTGGTTTACTGGAAGGGTGCCTCGAGCCACACCAAAGGCCGGAATCTGCTGTGCACTCCATGTACCCCAAGATGGTCTCTCTGCGTTCTTCTGTCCTGAGAAATCCACTGAAGCTCGCTGAACATGCGAGGCTTCCAAAAAAGGCAGCTGTGGCGTAACAGATTGCCCAGAATTCGCAACTCTTAGCTGCCTTACAACGGTATTTCCACTCAGAGGGGCTTCAGATGCACCATTCTGAAGTGTCCAAGCAGCTCCACTGTGGAAAACTCCCCCATGAGCTGATGCACTGTGCTTAGTATTCTGTAAAGCCGAGGTACCCACAGTGCGGGGGACTAACACCGACTGTTCTTCACGTTTAGGATGTTCCCCTTGTACTGAAGCCGCTGCCTTCGATGCGTCAGCATTGCTTTCATTCTTGCACTGTGATGCTCCTGTCTGTCGAAATTCTGCCGCCATTTGTTCAGATCTCGAAGCACCAAGAAAGGCCGGCGCTGCTTTTGGAGTTTCTACAATTCTGTTATTCGTTGAGCATTTCTCCGTGTTATTTTGTCTCTCCGAGTCAATTGCTACTGAAAAGGCGGCTGTAGAACTACCTTCAGTGTGTCCCCCGGCAACATTACCACTAGTAAGCTCCGATTTCTGGATGCAAGATGGCAGTGGCGGCATTGTAATCTTCTGTAGGCCACTCGAGAGGTCCTCGTGTGTTCCTTTGTTCCTACCGATCCGATTTTCATCTTGAGATACTTTGCCACTAGGCCCTAGCTTCTCACTTTCCTTGAGAAAGCTTGCTACGGACTGCCTTTTAATTGGGTCTTTGCCACTGGGCAGTACTGCTCCATATGTCATACGACTGGGTATGCCGTTAAGCCGAAGAGTAGCCCCTTTAACTGGAGGTGGCTGTGTGGCGCGCAAGTTGGTCCCCATGTGGAAGTGCGCTGACAACCCAGAGCTCTCCGAAAGTGCTTTCGATTGAGTGAGAGACTGCCTTGAAGAAGAGCGAAGGCATGCCGGCCTTGAGTTGTGACCCTGGGTATCGCGATGCTTGAGTCCATGCTCTTCCTTGGGTTGCCTTTCCGACCGTACTGTTGATCTCCTTGATGCTGCCGGAGTGCTTACCGTGTCTTTCTTCCAAGGAAACATTTCGCCATGAGCATTATTTTTTGTGATGGCCACGTCGGACCGGTCTGCGTGGTTGAGATCCCGTGGTGCCAATCTCCCGGCTCCCAAGACAGCTCCTTTTCCAAAAGGAAGAGGAGGCAAAGGGTGCCTCAAATTTCTAGGTGTCAAATGTACTGCTGCATCAAGTGGCTTCAACTTCCGGGGAGGAGCCGCTTGCAATCGAGGACGTGCTGAAACTATTGCTGGAGTACAAACAAGCTTGTTCCCGTTCTTCGGGCTGATGATAGCAGGGACACACCCTTTGCTGCCAGGCCGTCTGTCAACAGCAACGCCATTACGCAAGCACATTCTGGAAGAGGGTGCCCCCGCCAGATTGGGGCATTTGCGACCCTGCGGGAGATGGCATGGCTGACGAATGTTAGCTTGCAGGCAACAGGCTGCATCAGTCCCTACTCCGACTGGCCCTGCTGTCAAGCGATGACCTCGAGCGCGTTCTCCACTAAGACCTTCCACTTGGCTGCTATTTTTTCTGATTTGCTGCCCTGCATGTGCTGTTTCCTCGTGATCCTCCACTGCCTCAACAACCTCGCTCTGTTTCATCTGCGAGTCCGCTCCTGGGCGCTCAAGAGGCCTCCCATACTGCAACAATTCTCGTGACGATTGAGGACAGGATGTAGAAACATCCGAACACCGCTGAAGAGCTACCTTCGCATAAGTAGTTTCCTTTGTCTTCAGGGCGTGGCACAGAGCCAACCGTGCCAAAGGCTGGTCAGAAATCCCAAGCGCTTCAATTTGCTTTCTAAGTCTTGCCTCTGGCCAACGGCTGGCTAACAATGCAACGACTGTGTTCCCTTGTTCAACAAGCTTGCTGAGCAGCGGCCAACAGCAGATGCAAAGAACCGTGCAATATGATCTCTGTTACGGAGACCTAGACTTCGTTTGGCTTTCTGCGCAGCACTAACACCTACCAGAGCTTCTCTTTAAATCTAGGCATGATGTCTTCGACAAGAGCAATCACGCAGTGGAGCTGCACACGCACAAAGCTTATCGTATTTCACGTAGGCAATAAGCATTTAGCAAACAACACGAACGGGAACTTGAAATCGGCATTAAACTTCTACAGCACATCGTAGGATCAACTAAACACGAACCAAGTTGTACCTCTGTCTGTGCTTGGTTGAGCAATCTTGCAACATATTCTTTGTCTTCAATCGCTTGCCTTGCTAGAGAACGCGATGCTTGAGCAACCACCTTAAGCAAAAACATGCCATCGACATTGGTTAGAACGCCACACATACAAACCCTGTACGCCATATATCATTGCAGCCCTCAAGATGCTGGCATGCCGCACTAACTGTTGTCAAATAAGGAAGAATTACATTCGTGACAATACTAAGTGGGAGTGCAACACACCTCGGCAGCAGTAGTGCGCCTGCTATTGATGATGCTTTCCTCTTGAAGTCGGAGGTACTGCATATCACAAGCAACCAGAACCAGTGGGGCTCCAAAGAAGAGCTTGCTTGTTGATTCTCACTGTATATAGTGTGAGATACATGCCCAGACGTACTTCATCATGGAAAACTGCATAGTGTTTCCGTTCCTCCGCGCGCAGCCCTGAGAACAACTCAGTGCAACAAGACAAAGAATTATAGGGTCTCAGGAGACCGAATCTACAGGATATCAAGCTAAAAGCTAAAATACGCAGAAGGCAATTTCTACACGGCTGCTGGAGCGTACTTTGCTCTTCAGCAAGCTCTTCTTGGGCCAGCCATAACGCCTCCTCCAACTCGC